GCCGGCTCTCCCGACAGCTTTCTGCTCGTTGGTGCATTTGCCTCAAAGAAAGTAATTTAGTAACATCAGACTGAAACAGACTTGTTTACACTATCTCCTCTCCTCCTTTCACGGGGAGTCCATCTACCATTTGTGAGGTGCATTAACGACCGCCAAGTGCACAATCACTTGGAAATTGAGGCAACTGCTCTAGAATAATGGCTGAGCTTGACTGAGGGCTGTATAATAAATGACTGAGTCTCGTGGCACTTTTCAGTGGACATCCACACAGTCACCATTAGTTTCCTAAGTGCACTTTCCCCCGCACTTCTAAATTGATTGAAACAAAATGTCACAATTATGCCCTGTAGCTCAAGCTTTAATTATTCATCAATTAGCGTTTTCTCCCCCCCTTCTTTTTTTTCTGAACTGATTTTTCATTCAGTTTGCAGAGATGTATGGTTCCCCTGCTGTTAACCAGTCCTAAGTCATTAGTTTCTGGCTTTGCAATTAAACCTGCTGCATTATTCATCAGGCCCAACTCGGTAGACTCTGCTCTGAGCTCAGGAGGCCTGCATGAGAAATTAATTTGGAGAGATGAAGTTTCCTCTCAGGTTAGAACAGATGCCATTGGACCAAACGGAAGTATGGAGTGCATTCATTGTAGGGAATTATAATGGCAAGCATAAAGCTAGACTATAGAAAGGTCGAAAATACTAATGGAAAAATGGTCAAAATGGGGAATAGCCTGTGGCGGTGTGCTTCTGATTACGTAAAAAAAATCAACTCACGAGGAAATGTATAATGACTATAATAGAAGTCATATTGTGCACTTAAAAATGAACAAAATTGAATATTTCATTTTACTGTAATTATTATTTTTTTAATGTAAAGAATAAAGAAAAATATTGTATGACATTTTAATCTCATTCAGAAGGATACTGATGTGTATTATAGTGAGATTCATATATATATATATATATATATATATATATATATATATATTAGGGCTGTGCAAAAATTAATTGCGATTAATCGCATCCAAAATAAAAGTCTGTGTTCACATAATATATTTGTGTGTGCTGTATATTATTATTTTGTATATATAAATGCGCACACATGCATGCACATATTTTAAGAAAATGTGTTATTCATATATAAAATATTTATATTTATATAATATTGATTATGTATTTATATAATATAGATTATGTGTGTGTATATATATATATATATATATATATATATATAAACAGAATTTAAGCGCAAATAATTCTTAAATATATACATGCATGCATAGGTATTTATATATACAAAATAATTATATACAGCACACACAAATACATTATGTAAACACAGACTTTTATTTTGGATGCGATTAATCGCAATTAATTTTTGCACACCCCTAATATATATATATATATATATATATATATATATTCATTCTTCAGCAGATATCAATCTGACAGCCAGATAAAAAAAAAACGTCAGTGATCAAATGTTGCCATCTGCTGGTGTATTGCAAAAACATCAAAAATTAATTCTTTATAATAAAGAGATTTAGATCATGATCAGTCATTGGGGAAAATAAAAAGATACATTTTTATTTATAATCGTGCAAGCCCATAGTATTGGTGGCCGTCTCTGTTCAAGCAGTCGTAAGAGCACAGCAGAACTCTCACTGGAACAGACTGCGAGCGTTTCATCCCCATGTGCTGTTCAAAGACAATAGAACAGACTCAAATTACTAAAGGACAGTCTTTACAACAGCACCACTTTTTTGTTGCATTTATTGCCACAGGCAGCGAATGCTGAACATTGGTGTTCTGGTAAGGTGTGATATGCAGAATGAACTGATACTGTACCTTCTTGGTGTTAATGAACTGCACACACTCCAGCCAGGTGGTGAGGAAGGGCTGTGAGCACAGGGCACACTGGCCCCAATGAGACAGCATGTCCTGCAGATCTGGGTACATTGGCAGAGCTCTGGACAGCACTGAGAAACTGTTAGTGCTCTCCTGGAGGATGAGCCTGGCTGAGAGTTCCTGAGCACATTAAATAAGCACCAGTATGGAAATGTTATGGTTAAAAAAAATAACCGTTTTTATTTCATTTGAATGATTTTCTGGAAAAAAGGGAAGAAATCACATACAAGGCACCAGGGTTATTATAGTTAACTAATAGCCACATTTACATTACATGCTTCAAGTGACCCAATTCCGTTTGTATGGTCAACAAACGTGTAAGCAAGAAAAAAAAACACATGAATTTCAATATTCTTAATCCGTTTCAGGCCTTATTCACATGTGGAAATAAATCTGAAATTAAAGGAGTAGTTCCCTTTTAAAAAAACTTTTGCTGAATTTTCATTGAATGAACGAAATGACTCGGAAAAAAGATTTTTTTCATTTTGATGAACGAGTTCGAACAGGAGAGTCAAGAACGCTCATCACAGAACAGAGCAAGGCGAGCATTTGTGCTTATAAAACTTAAACTTTTTAATTTATTTTTGAAATGGCCGCTTGTTTCACTTGATAAGACCCTTATTCATCGTTTAAAGCCCTTTGAAGCTGCTCTGAAACTCATTTGGACCTTGAACCTTTTGGTTCCCATTGAAGTCCATTATATGGAGAAAATCCTGTAATGTTTTCATCAAAAACCTTAATTTCTTAATTTTCTAAAAAAAAAAAAAAAAAAAGACATGGACATCTTGGATGACATGGGATGACATGACATGGGTAATTGGATGACATGACATGGGTAAATTATCAGCAAAAGTTTGTTTTTTTTTGTTGGTTTTTTTTTTAAAGTGAACTACTTCTATGATCGAATATGTGCATTTGCGTCTGCCATGTAATCGGACAGAGGGCAACAAGTGTGAAATAATATGTTACTTTTAATGCGAGGACTTCTTTCTCTTGAATGGATTCCATCAGTGTGAACGGAACTAAACTGTTTCCTTCGAAGAACAGTTCATCCAACGTGAGAAACTGAAACTAAACATTAAAGAGAAAAACATCAGTGAAATTTATATATATTACAGTAATTTATATTATAAAAGTTAACAATTAAGTTAATTGTGTATATAGGGGGGCTGAGGTCCTACTAATTAGCATCTAACATCAGATATTTATTTTTTAATTATATAGCTTATAATATTATAAAGAACAAAAACATTTATAGAAACATCTGAAATGGCTGGCACTTTGTCCAAATAACTTACACCAACTGGAAACACAGATAAAAAATTTCCGGCAACATCTAAGATCTTCAGATTTTTCCAACCAAGAGCACCCTAAGCAAAGAACGGACACATATTAATCTAATAGACATAATATTGGGTTAAGTATGATGATAATCGTCACTCTTGCCTCTGGTAGTCCTGTCAGGTTGTTTCGGGCCAAGTACAGTTTCCTCAGCTGTGATAAATTGCATAGCTGCTGTGGTATTTGAGTCAGTTTATTATTAGTGAAGTTAATCTCAGTCAAACTCTTCATCAAGCCCAGTTCAGCTGGAATCTGCTGCAAATGATTGTCTGTGACACTGATGCTCTTTAGACTACACAGTCTGCAAATAAACAAGAAATGTTTTGCATGCATGATAATCAATTAAAGGGATAGTTCATTTTGAAATAAATTGTTGGTATGTTTTAGCTTACCTCAAGGGCATCGAAGATGTAGGCGGCTTTGTTTCCGCAGTAGTTTCAATTTTGATATTTTTAGGTCAAACCGTTCTTGTCTGTCAGTCATATAATGGAAGTAAATGGGGTCTACCTCAAAGAGCATGCACAGAGAAGTCCAAATTAAACATGATTTAATGACTCGTGAATGTAAGTACACATTGATGTCCTAAGAGACGAAACGAGCGGTTTGTGTGAGAAAACGAACTGTATTTATATCGTTTTTACCTCTTGTAAACACAGCCACGTCCAAGTGATCTGAGGGTGCGGGTGCTTTGTGGCTGGGGTTACAAGAGCTACAAACGATATAAATACTGTTGTTTTCTCACACAAACCGCTCGTTTCGTGTCTTAGGCCATCAATGTGTACTTACATTTACGAGTCATTAAATTATGTTTAATTTGGACTTCTCTGTGCTCTTTGGGGTGGTGACCATAGACCTTTATTATATGACTGACAGACAAGAACAGTTTGACCTAAAAATATCAAAATTGAAAATACTACAGAAACAAAAACACCTATCTTGGATGCCCTTGAGGTAAGCTAAAACATACCAAAACTTTATTTCAAAGTGAACTATCCCTTTAACAAAGTGTGGTGGTGAATTGTGAAATATCTAAAAAAAAAACTTGATTTATCTTACTTTTTAATTTCTGCCGGAATGACTTTGATTCTGTTGTGGTTCAAATTGAGAAGCTCGAGGTTTGGTAGACCTTCTGAAAATATATCACATACTAAAACCCAGTTCAGTTAACTATACGATAAACCTGAATAAGAGTTTGAACTTACCCAGCACCTCTGGTGACAAATGGCTGATTTTGTTCCCATATAAATAAAGTTTATTTAGACAACAGAGGTGTTTTAACACGGATGGAATCTCCTCAAGAACATTATTTCCCAGGTTGAGCTCTGTCAACTTAATAAATGTACAGTACTATGAAAACTAAAATACTACATTTTGGCTTTGCAATGAATAATTAACGTTAAGTTGTCATGGTCTTTTTAAGACCAGTGTTTTATTGTTGGTTATTGCTCAACATTTACTAAAATGGCTAGTTATGAACATATGTGTTGGGCTCTGTCACAGAATAATGTTATATTATTGTTAAATGATCATTGCTATTGTACAGAAGTGTCTGAACTCACCTTCTGTAAACACATAATTTCAGACGGGAGACTCGACAAATAATTATTATTCAACTTTAATACAGCAATCCATGGCAGCTTCTCAAAAACTTCTGGAAGATGTGTAATTTTCCTGCAACTCAAATTAAGCGACTTTGATTTGGTTTTTAAAGCTCTGATAACTGAATCATTAGCCATTTGATTTGACTTTCCCAAGGTTTCTATGGAGATGCGACGCAACTTGTCTGAAGCCACTGGCGCCACCTGACGGCCTAACGTGAGTACAAGATTTTTTGAATATAATACCAAATATATGACATTAAACGTTTAAAAACGTATTTGATCTTTCAGCAAATGCTCAGTGAAAGGTTGTCAACCTTCAGAAAATCTTGATGGTCAAAGTCAAACAAATTTTTGTTTTACTCCTTTTCAACGGGCTTTGCGATTTGTACAACCTTAAAGTCTAAAGTCTGTTAAATCCCTAATTTGTATGATAGCATTACTGTATTTTTATTTTAGAAGTAAATATTAAACCAAATATAATGGAATGACATTTTATCATGCTTTTGAAAGTTTTCAAATAATGTTATTTCTTCATAATTTTACATTTATTTTTTTTTTAAATGGGGGAAATCATGTAGTGACAAGGTTATGAGCAAACACAGCTAAATATTAAAATGTACATTTTTGTTATCAGAAAAGGCTTTTTTTTTTCTTCAAATAATTGAATATATTAGTATGTCAAAATTATAATGAAGTTGTGATGTGATCTTGTGAAGTTCATAATATGATTTTGAGTGGTCTTAAACCTTGTCTGTGAAACCGGTCACTAATGTGTTTTTTCTGTTGGCCAAAAACCCCATTTTAAAGAAGGAGAATGTGCCATTAAGACAAAAGCTTGTTGACGTTGATAGAAAGTTCTGTTCTTTTTATTCAATGACGTAAGCATGATCCAGCACCTTTTAGAACAAATGACTTTCTGATATCCAGCTTTCCACGAATAACACAAAGTACATAGCAGTTTATTCATAAATAACACAGTGAAGCATGGACTATTTCATTAAACTTGTCCAATGCAACTGAAGTCACCAGCAGCATCTTCTATGAGCATCCTGACTGAACAACTTTAATTCCACTTATCCTAGCAAAATAGAATCAAACTCCAGAAGGTCCATTTGTACGGGATAACTATGCACAGATGCATATATTAATGTGCGTCAGTGACTGGGTCAACCCTCTTCCTCATTTGCCAAATCTTTCAGAGGCTCCACAGAGTTGTAGTGCTCACCAAGTCCATAAGCATGCCGCATATAACTGAAAGAGACAGAGAAACAAACTTTAGTAGAGCAGTAGCGGTTGTACTTATGGACAGAATATTAATTTGAAATATATAGAAATACAACTTGAATTATTTACATTAACGTGATTGGTGGCTTGTCATAATCTTCACCAATAATAATAGAGGGGGATTCTGCCTGAATGACTTCTATCGGTAGCTGGAGGACCTGAGAAAGGGCTTTTAACTGTCATGGAGAAAATATCAAAATTAATGTTAAATATCAAAATTGAATGTCGTTTGTTGGAATAAATGGCTGGTATTCTTACCTCTAACTGTCCACCCCAAGCAGCTGTGTCTGCAACATCATTGCAGTATTTCTCAAACTCATCTAAAGTAAAAATTAATCTACAGTTAACAACAGAATCCATTCTGGCACGTAACAACAAGAATTTAGCTTAAGACAAAAATATTTTCATTTGTGTTCTGAAGATAAACGAAAGTCTTAGGTGTTTTGAATGACATTGAATTGACAGTGAATTTTTGGTTGAAAACACCCGTTAAATTGTGTTAGAAATCAAAAGAAACATTTGTAATATTACAAAATTTTTCTTTTCTTTTTTTCGGGAAAAAAAAAAATCAGCAACACAGATATTTGCAACAGATCAGCATATTTGAATGCTTTCTGAAGGATCATTTGACACTGAAGATCTATCTACTGAAGTGTATGGCACAGAGTCTGGCATTCACCTTCAGTGTACATGTCTCCTGAATCGGGGTTAGTGAGGAACGGGAGGAAGTCGTCTGCATGGCTCCTCATGTACTGAGCTGTTTGAGCCCGGAGTTCTTTGAGGCTGAGTTTGGTGCTTCTCTCCATCAGCTGATCTTCCACAGCGCGGTACATGCAGTGACCGTCAGAAGAGATCTCTCGGATCTGCAGGTGCTTCTCCACCAGCTTCTGTCTCAGCTTCAGACCCTCCTGATGACGGGAGCCGCTGAGATTCTCCACTTCCGCTTCAGCAATCCGGACCTCCCTCTCCTTCTCAAGAGCAGCCTTTTTGTCCTAAAAAAACACCAAGAATTTTCAGTATTTTCAAAATAGATTAAGTAAGTACAGTCACCTTATATGATTAAAATAACTCACCCGCTTCTTCTGGGCTTTGGATGTCCGACTTGGTTTGCTTAGAACCGTTTTTTCTTCACTGTTTGCCAAACTCACAGATTCCAATGCATTTGAAACCTCCTTCACCTTGGAACAACCCATGATATCAGAATGAGTGAGCTGCAGTCATGTTTATCTAGTCTAGTTGATGTGTCTAGTTTCTAGGTAGGGTGTTTTAACATATTCTAACTAGGTTTGACTTACCAAGGAAGAGTTCTGAAGATGTTTGAGCTCATTTTCGTGTTTTTGATCGAGTTCAGTCTCTAGTTTGGCTATATCTTCTGTCAGCTGTTTCCTCCTCTTCTTATCATTTTTGGGAACAGCATTTTTCATAGTTTGTATTTTTGCTATGACATGAAAAATATCAATATTTGACATTGTGTACTTTTATGTTTCGTTTTTAACCCATACAATGCATTTTGTGATATTTCAAAGGAAATTAGTCTTATAATATTTATAGATATAGTAACAATCGTGACATGTTTTCTTACCTTGCAGGTCTTTCTTTTCCTTGCGTTGCTGTTTGGCTAACAGCTCCTCTGCTGACTCCACTTCCTCCATGTCAAAATTACCTATTATTCACAGCAATAAAATATGTGCAAAAAAGTATCTAAAGGATAAATACATTATTCGTTTCCATCAGGTTTACTTATTTAACAGTAAGGACTGAATTTGGGTTTTCAACTCATAAAAACCAGTTGTTTTTTTTTTTGTTTTTTTTTCAGATCTGCAACTGCAAGTCACACACGCACAGATTCAATGGGAACACAGATACTGAACACAACATATCCGGGATGTGAAGATTTCAAAATAAAAGTCTTAGAACCCTAGAGCTTTCGGTATTTGATACAATGGGATAAAATGGCAGAATATATAGCCAGTGATTTACACTAACTTAAACCAGTAGTTTACAAAGTACCTTAAAAACGTTATTATTTGATCCTTATTATTTATTCGTCGTAATTTCTGGGTAAATACGATTATTTTGAAATCAATGTCCAGTTGCAAGAGGGTTGCCGCTTCTTTATTAATAAAGTCACCTATGAAAATAGATAGTCGTGAGCATAGACAGTAGGGTCGTGAGTTGCATTTTTTTGGAGGGTTATTTTCAGAATAATTTTTGTTGTGCTAAATCGCTTTAATCAGTCTGTGTTGCTAGTTTTCGGATTGAAATCTGGCAACATTGCCAGACGCAGCTAATCGAAACTGTTCGCTTATATTACTGATCGACACGCTCCGTGGGCTTTTAATGTCTGACGTGCTATTCATGTTGACATTGACAGTTCTTAGCATGCTGACTTTAATACCACATATTAACTTCAATAAGGTATAATTTTGTAGTAGGAGCGAGGTTTCTGCAGCCTTGCAGGCAATGTTGGGAAGCCAAGGGATTCAACCCGTCACTCTGGTCTTCAATAACTCAAAAAACTGCTTTCTTCAGCTGCCATCGAACTTCGCCACTCATCTCTGTCTTCATGAGGTTCGTGTCTAGCTTGTTGCTTTTTAATAATAAAAATGCCATTTACTATACCGCCACTGTACTGTATGTTTACCTTCCATATGTAAAGTTCTGAATGTTTTGAGAGTCATTTATCATTAATGTGATGTCAGAACCAGATCCTGGAGCTGTCATGGGGTGTTTCTGCACCCGTGTTCCTCAGCTGGATCAGGTCTTCAGGTCCAGAGGACCGAGTTGAGATCAGCAGACAGCTGGGAGAGAAACTTGGGCTCAAGGAGGGAGAACAGGTCTGCCACTGGTTAAGATGTGTTGCATATGACTGTGAAGTGATTTGATGTAGCATGGTTGTAGATACTTTTTTCTCAACCAAGGGACCCAGGCACTCAAGGTACTCAAAAGGATTTAAAATAAGAAAAAATAAATATAAATATTTTTTTTTAAATATATTTTTATGAACATCGACTTGAGCTCTAAAATATTTTAACAGGTATACATTTTGAGTAAAAATATTATTATGCTCCTTATCCTTAATCCTCATCAATTAAATCATGACCAACAGGAAAATTCAGGAGGCCTTTGAATATTGCTGTGGACAATGATGGGCCTTGGAGTCAAAAAGGTTGAGAGGGACTGATGTAGATACATGTAACATGGTTGTGATGTGTTTTAGGGGTATCTGCGGCCATGTCATCAGGTGCAGTCAGTGCAGCAGGTGTTCGTAGAGCCTCTGTCTCCAGATGACTGGGAGATCCTGGTGAGACCACAGTGGCATCATTTATCTCTGTCTTCAGTCCCAAGAAGATGTTTAGTTGATATATAGTGGTATATGTCCATATAAATCGAAATCACACATCTTTCAAAGTCTACTTGAAATCTAAAGGGACCTAATTTTCTTTCATGATACACATTACTGGTCTTATTTTGCACGATTCACCAATGCGTATCATTCTTAAAGAACAACAAAGTTAGTCCTTCACAATCCACTGCAAACATCTGCATCTGGCTCAGTTTTGGTATGAAACACTTACATTTCATGACCCAGTCAATAAAATATATTTTCATTGAGCGCCTTTTTTACTTTACACAAACACATTAGATCAAGTAAAATGGGTTGTGAATGAACTTTGTTCGCAGGAGCTGCACAGCAATGTTCTGGAGCAGCAACTTCTAGATCAGATCCGAGTGGTCTTCAGGGATGGTGTGTTCCCTGTATGGGTGGACCAGTACACCGTCATCTATATCAGGATAGGTCCGTCTGCCCTATTTTAAAGATCTGTCTCATTGATGCTGTCATTGAGTATGAACTGATAAATGTACACTAATGATAATTATATTTTTAGCGTCCCTATCTCCATCTGTTCCTTATGGCCGACTGGAGCAGTTCACTGAGCTCGTTGTCTCTCCAAAACTACATCCAGGAAATGATCAACTCCACCAAACTCGATCAGTGGAGCCAAGTCAACATCTACAACACCAGATCGTTGATGTCACGTCTTCCTCCAGCTCATTCGTCCATCGGGAACCCCTCAGTGGTCACCTTGAGAGTCAGAATGAAGGCATAGGTATAACTGATCTGAAAAGCTTGTTTAGATACTTGTTTACACGAGGATTTGAGCCTGCAAAGGAGAATCTCACAGTTCCCACAATTCCCACCATCCTGAATGACTGTATCCTCAGAACATGTGGAACTCCTCCTAGCTCTGTCAGCCATTTAGGCTCTTCTCATGGAGATGTCCATATACTGCCATGGAACCTGCAAGAACAAGAGAACTGGAATCCAGGGCAGTCTGCCTTAACATATGGTAGACTTTCAAAGATCCTTTCTCCTAAAGAACTCAGGGAGAACGTCAAACAGGCCATGGAGAAGAAGAAAATCAGAGATGGACCTCAAAAAGGGAAAGACGCAGAGGAATGTAAGGAGAACGCTGTTGTGGTCAGGATGCTTTGTCATAATGTGAAAAGGCTGCAGGAAGACCAGAAATTCCATAAATGTGAAGAAATTTACTCTGGGAAGGTTTGGGTAAGTTACTAAAGTTCCAGTTCAATTATATATGTTGGATCCAACCAATACAAACACATAGCAAATACAGGCGAATAACCGATATAGTACAGATATATTTTGCATCCCTAGTAAAAATCTTGTTAAGTTTTCTTTGTTGTTTCAGATCCCAAGGGTGCTGCAAAGGCATTTGAAGATTGAACCTCACTCGGCGGTGAGGATTCAGCCTTTAAAATCATTGCCAAGAGTAGCAGAAGCAGTCATGGTTCGCCCATTACTACCGTTGGTAAGATTTTCTTTAAGACTAGTGCTTTATGTTGTCAGGTAATGAAAACATTTACATTTTTTACATTTATTCATTTAGCTGACGCTTTTATCCAAAGCGACTTGCATTTTTTTTATATATGTCAGAGGTCGCACGCCTCTGGAGCAACTAGGTGTTGCTCAGGGACACATTGGTGTCTCACAGTGGATTCGAACTCTGGTTTCTCACACCAAAGGCACGTGTCTTTTCCACTCCGCCATCACCACCCCGTACAAAATATTGTATTGTAAAGTTATTCCCTGTTTTTGTCTGCAGGCAGAAAGTGAAAAAGAAGAAGATATTCAGTCTGCATTCCTCAACTGGCTGCATGCTCAGAGCCATCAACCTTTGACCTGTCTGACCGGACGCACTAATGTCATTCTCCTACCTTGTGCTGAAGGTGTGAGGAAGAACCCTAAAAATTGATGTTTTCATTAATTTTACAACTATTACAGACTATTCTGTGTTTTTCTCTTCTCAGGAAAAGAAGAGTTTGTCTTGACTGTGCTAAAACCTGAGCAACAGCAAGATGATGAGATGTTCTTTCTATCATCCAGTTTACTTAAGAAAACAGACGTGCAGGTATAAAGACATATCATTTAAAAAAAAAAGACTTCTCATGCATGCTCAACAAACCAGCTCAATCTCTGTTCAGATTGTCAGAGAGCCACAATATTCTGACCACAGTGGTGCTGGTGATGATAATGAAGACCTTGGCTTTCCCTCCCTCAGCTCTCTTGGGTATGCTCGTATTCTTTTTTAAAATGAGGAAATGTCAATTAGAGATGCACAGCTATTCGCCTAAAGATCTCGATTCAAACACCCATGCAATCTTATTTCTAAATGACAACAATTCTCCTAAGTCTATTAATCCTTTGCCAAAATCACACCAGAATATTCAGATGTTGCCACTGAAACAGAGAAAGCATAGGCATGAAGCAGCTTCACAAATAGTCTTTTCAATCACACAGTATCATATTTCTGTGTTTCAAATTATTGCAGAAGTACTGGGATAAAAGTTTATAGTTCGGATATAAACACTGATGTCTATGGTTGACAAAATAGAGCAAAACCCCTATCAATTACATCACAAGAGTGAATGTTAAAACAGTGTATTTGTCATTGAATCATTCGTTAAAGAGATTCATTCAAAAACGCTGATTCAACCAATCAAGTCTTTATGGGTGAGTTATTGAATCATTCATTCAATTCAGACAAATTAATTAATTAAATGTTTTTAAATTGACTGCAGCTATTTAAACTTGATCAGAACCTCTAGTAAATTACATTTTATTTTGTTTAGTTGTCTGTTCAGAATCGTGGTAGAATCGCAATCACAATTGTTATTCTCAACTTATCCAGAATCGTGCAGCTCTAATATCAATTCGTCAAGCATTTACGTTCTGTTGAGTCAGTGTAGTTTTTCTTTGTTGCATGTGATTGTTGAATCTGTTTGCTCAGTGGGGTAGAGGACATCAGCAGGTCTGCTTTCGAGCACATCTCTCATGCTCTAATGGGAGGTTCTCTGTCGCGTGAGCTGGTCTCCACGGGACGTGGACTGAGGAGTGGAGCTCTACTCATCACAGGTGCAAAGGTAACCTTCACGCTTATGCTATGGCCCTTTCAATGTACAATGTGGGATATTATGCAAGTAATTGTTTTTTGCAGGTATACGATTATCAAACGAGAATATTTATTAAGATCATAACTATCAGGTTTCATACTGTTCTAAAGTTTGCGGTCTGTAATATTTTTCTATGTTTTTAAAGGAGTGGTTCACCTTTAAAAAAACTTTTGCTGATAATTTACTCACCCCCATGTCATCCAAGATGTCCACGTCTTTCTTTCTTCAGTTGAAAAGAAATATGAAAATAATGAAAAGAAAAAAGAAAATGTTTTTGATTCCAGGATTTTTCTCCATATAATGCACTTTACTGGTAACCAAAAATCCTGGAATGTTTTCATCAAAAACCTACATTTCTTTTCGACTGAAGAAAGAATGACATGGATATCTTGTATGACATGGGGGTGAGTAAATTATCAGCAAACGTTTTTTTTAAAGTGAACTACCCCTTTAGAATAAGTACTTATGCTCAACAAGGCTCCATTTACTTGATCAAAAATACAGTAAAAACAGTAATGTTGTGAAATACTATTGCAATTTGAAATAACTGTTTTCTATGTTAATACATTTAAAATTTTTCTATTTTATTTTTTGTGGAAATGTGAGAATTTTACAGGATACAGTACATTTATGTATGTTACAAAAGATTTCTATTTGAAATAAATGCTTTTCTTTTAAAATATTCATCAAAATATTTTAAAAGAAAAGCATTTATTTCAAATAGAAATCTTTTGTAACAAACATAAATGTACTGTATTTACAATTTAATGCACCCTTACTAAAATATTAATGTCTTTAAAAAAAAACTGACTTCAAACTTTTGAATGGTGTTAATTTGAATTGAAATTCAGGGTTAAACATCTATGCATGACATCAGGTGGCGTTCTAAGTAGCAAGTTTTAAAGTCTACATTGTTTAATTGATAAATGTAGCAATCGCTCCCATGCACTTGATGACTTTACACTGATGTCAAATTTTGTGACTTTTTTGGAAATGCAGAAAACAATCAAGGAGATGTGTTGTTGACTTATATCGTAAAACAAAGAAAAGAGGATGTATGTGATCAATTTCTTGCTTTTCTCCACAGGGCAGTGGAAAATCTTCTCTATCTAGAGCGCTGTGTCGAAAGGCCAGTGAAGAGCTGGACGTCCACATTCAAGTTGTGGACTGCAAAACACTAAAAGGTAGGCAAGAAAGGATGGAAGAAATGTTTGTAAACTTAATTACATTTTTGTCTTTATCAATCATATTTCTCAGGTAAGAGAGCAGACAAAATCAGACAGAGGTTGGAAGAGGTTTTCGAGCAGGCAGTTTGGAGACAACCTTCAGCGGTCCTGCTGGATGACTTGGATCACGTGACCGGTGCTGCGACCTCACCTGAGCACGAGCATGGGCCAGAGGCCGTACTGCGGCAGCACATTGCACAGAGTAAGACATAACAGATGTGCCTGGCTCTACATGAATCTCTGTGAGGAATCATCTAATGGATGTGTTTACTTTGCTCGTTCTCCTTCAGGTCTGAGGGATTTGGTGGATGAGATGGTGGTGCGCTCCAGTCTCATAGCTCTGATGGTCACGGCACAGAGTGAACATTCCCTTCATCAGACTCTGACTGCGGTGCAGGGTTCACACTTCTTCCAAAGCTTCTGCAAGATCCAAACACCAGATCAGGTGGGTTCATGAAACTTCAATCCAGGACTACATGATTTAGGTAAAAAAAAATCAAAGGAAAAATTACAATTGAGATTTAATATTTGATTTAAAAAGTTCCAGGGTTACGGTGCACAATTTGGCCCAAATTGTTTTTTATTAAATTATATATCAATAGGACTATAGATTTATAAATATGATAATTATATTCAACAAACACAATAATTATAATTTTAAACTTTAAAATTATAATACTTATATTTGAATGTCTTAATTTCTTCATTTTTATATTTTAATGGCCATATCACGATTTCAGGGTTTTTTTTTTTAGATTAATCATGCAGCCCTACCGCAATATAACAAAAACATTTGGATTTCAAAGGTGGGATTTTTAGATGAGAAAGTCTCTGAATTTGCTTATTGAATCCCTGCCAGAACAAGCTGCAGTGTGAACGAGTCTTTATACCTACAGTAAAAAGTCTGACTAGTCAAGACTATCCTATTGAAAAAAGTAAACTACAAACCATTCACATATTTACTTACATATTGCTTGAGATTTTACTGATATAAATGTTAAAATTAAACTTTCTTTGGAGTACTACTTTATTGCACAATGCACTTTTTTATATTACGCCTAAAATGGGTTTAAGTATAACTATTAGTAAGGATAGTATGATCTCTGTATAATATCAGTCTTTACATGCAAGATATTTGTATCTGAAGTATACTTGCAATAGTTTCACGTTAGCACAATCAAATATTTATCTTAATATAAATTATAATTTAAAAATATATATATTAAATGATCTTAATATATATTTAGTTTTATGTGTTTTTTGCTTAGTTTTTTTTTTTTTTTTTCAACTCTTTGTAGGCTCAAAGGGTTGAGATTCTGAGGTCTTTGATAGTGAAAAAGAACTTCCTCGATTGTCCAATTACTCTTGACCTGGACAGTGTTGCCAAGGAAACTGAGGGCTTCATGCCACAAGACCTGAACCTGCTGCTCAAGAGGGCCATCCATGCCAACACTTTACACAGCAGAAACAATGGCGTCTCTGAAGGCCAGTGCTATATCTAATTTCATATCCTTCTATGATTCAGCTGTTTTTCTGAAATCTTAAGTTTTCTGGTTCTACAGATTTGAGCTATAAGGACTTCAGACAGGCCCTTCAGGGCTTCACCCCGCCCTCCCTCTGGGGGGCTCAGCTGCAGGCCCCCACCGGGGCCGGCATGGAGTGTATTGGCGGACTTCATCAGGCACGGCAGCTCCTGATGGACATCATACTGCTGCCAGCTAAGGTATGGCAGCTGTTGTGCACAAAATGTCCATTTCAGTGTAAGAATCAAAATACAAAAAAGATGGGCACATCTAAAACCAAAATTGGGCTCAGGTACAGTACAAAAAGATAACAATAAATGAACAAATAAAAATAACACTGAAATTGTAGATTGTGCCTGATTGGTTCGAAACATTGGCCTGTTTATAAATATATTTTGCGGGTTTAATTTCAGTGTGTGGACATTTATTTTTATTTGTTCATTTCAGTGTAAGACCATCTTTTATAAATTAAAAAAAAAGTTCACGTGCAAGAAGATTTGGCGAATCAACTAGACTGGTTTCAAATCTGTGTTAAAGAGTGTGTTAAAAAGTGTCAAACTGAACTAACTTTTTTTTTTTCATGGAATTGATTTGAATCAAAATATTTCAAGTTTTGCTTTGCTGTTGAAAGCAAATTCCATTTAATTCTATTTCTAATTTGTGAGTGCTTGTGTTCCTAACAAGTCAGGAAGAAAATACTGGTCTGTCTGTTCTCAAATCAGTGTCATTATCATTAACTAATACTAAAACCATAAAAATAAATCCTAACTAAAATTAAAAAAATGTTTTTAAATAACTAGATGCCAAGGAAATGTTACTTCAAACATTAAAATAACAATCTTAATCAACTTAAAACTAATACATTAAAATTAATAAAAACTATATAGACACAGTTAAAAAAATAATAATTAAAATAACAAAGTTTAAAAAATAAAATAAAGTTAAAACAAAACATTTTAAATAAAAAAACTAAAATGAACAAAAACTGAAACGGTATTTTAGTATTTTCAATAATAATAAAATAACACTGCTCAGGTCATATTTTTAATGTTATTCGAGACACCAAGTATAATTGTTTAAATGTACTAATTCAAAATATGAATTCATCTATGTCTATAAATTGATTTCTGTGACAGAAACCATTTACCAGTGATCATAAGGACTGGGACAGACATAGAGTTCCCTCATTATTTTTTTTCTATTAACCAAAGAATTTTCATTTATATATCCCTATTCATGTGTGGTTGAAGTAATAATCTGATGTGTCATGTTGTGTCCAGTACCCGCTGCTCTTCTCCAGTCTTCCCATGCGTCAGTGCTCTGGTGTGCTGCTTTTTGGCGCTCCTGGTACAGGCAAGACTTTACTAGCTGGAGCTGTGGCCAAAGAGAGCGGCATGAACTTCATCAGCATCAAGGTAAGGGAAAGTGTACAGTATGTATGTTGACGTCAAATTTGAATGTCCTGATGCATTGTGATGTCCTATGTGTTTCTCCAGGGTCCCGAACTCCTCAGCAAGTATATTGGTGCCAGTGAGCAGGCAGTTAGAGATGTGTTTCAGAGGTCTGTCTGAATGCTCTTCTTTATGAAATATAGTAGCAGTTTACTAAAGTCATCACCAAATGTGTGTCTGTGTTGCTGCAGGGCTCAACAAGCTAAGCCGTGCATACTGTTCTTTGATGAGTTTGACTCTCTGGCCCCTCGAAGAGGCCATGACAACACAGGGGTCACTGACCGTGTGGTTAATCAGCTACTTACTCAGCTGGATGGAGTGGAAGGACTGACAGGTACATCAGGGTTGAAGATCAAATGCTCACACATTTACTTGGCTTCAACCTGAGGTTGTTCCATTTTGACCAGCTTAATGGTCTCAGTTTGTTGATCTTTGAGTAAGTGGGTAGTTGACAAATAAAATGTAAAAGCAGATTTATGTTAAGGTTTATATATACACTACCGTTCAAAAGTCCGGGATTGGTAAGATTAACTTTTTGACAGAATTATCCTGCATTAAGGCTGCATTTATTTAGTAAAAAATAACAGTAAAATAGTCATATTGTAAAATGTTTGACATTTTAATAATAAATGCTGAGACCAAAACTGAGACTGTAGAGCAAAGCCAATTATGTGACTTGAGAATAGTTTTTTATGATTTTATATATATATATATATATATATATATATATATATACATATATTTATTTATATATATATATATATATATATATATATATTATTTTTTTTAAGATTGCATTGTTGTATTTGTGAGATCTCTCCATAGTTTTTTTATTCCAGGGGTGTATGTGTTGGCTGCCACCAGTCGTCCTGACCTGATTGATCCTGCTCTCTTGAGACCTGGGCGACTGGACAAGTCTCTCTATTGCCCTCCTCCTGATCGGGTCAGCATTTTTTTCTGGCGCACAACGGTTTTACACCTAAAGATAATTTTACACCATCTTTATTCCTAAAAGACTTTCACTATTAATTCACGGATACATATCTGTCCATCAGGAGGCACGACTGGAGATCCTGAGGGCTTTAACTCATTCTGTGCCGCTGGCTGCAGATGTGGACTTGGAGCAGATTGCTGTGGCAACAGAGCTGTTCACTGGAGCCGACCTAAAGGCCCTTCTCTATAACGCTCAGCTAGAGGCCATCCATAGCAGCCTGGGGCCCAACCTTCTGCATGTGAGTTACACACAAACATTGACCCATACATACTGTACACTCACCTGAAGGATTATAAGGGACACCATACTAATCCTGTGTTTGACCCCCTTTCGCCTTCAGAACTGCCTTAATTCTACATGGCATTGATTCAACAAGGTGCTGAAAGAATTCTTTAGAAATGTTGGCCCATATTGATAGGATAGCATCTTGCAGTTGATGGAGATTTGTGGGATGCACATCCAGGGCACGAAGCTCCCATTCCACCACATCCCAAAGATGCTCTATTGGGTTGAGATCTGGTGACTATGGGGGCCATTTCAGTACAGTTTGTCAGAAAGCTATTTGAAATGAGCTTTGTGACATGGTGCATTATCCTGCTGGAAGTAGCCATCAGAGGATGGGTACATGGTGGCTATAAAGGGATGGACCTGGTCAGAAACAATGCTCAGGTAGGCCGTGGCATTTAAACGATGCCCAATTGGCACTAAGGGGCCTAAAGTGCGTCAAAAAAACCACCACCAGCCTGCACAGTGGGAACAAGGCATGATGGATCCAAGTTCTCATTCTGTTTACGCCAAATTCTGACTCTGCCATCTGAATGTCTCAACAGAAATCAAGACCAGGCAACATTTTTCCTGTCTTGAAGTCTTCCAGCCTCTTTTTCCTATTTGTAGTGGAGATGAGTGGTACTCGGTGGGGTCTTTTGCTGTTGTAGCCCATCCGCCTCAAGATTGTCCGTGTTGTGGCTTCACAAATGCTTTGCTGCATACCTCGGTTGTAACGAGTGGTTATTTCAGTCAAAGTTGCTCTTCTATCAGCTTGAATCAGTCGGCCCATTCTCTTCTGACCTCTAGCATCAACAAGGCATTTTCGCCCACAGGACTGCCGTATACTGGATGTTTTTCCCTTTTCACACCATTCTTTGTAAACCCTAGAAATGGTTATGCGTGAAAATCCCAGTAACTGAACAGATTGTGAAATACTCAGACTGGCCCATCTGGCACCAACAACCATGCCACGCTCAAAATTGCTTAAATCACCTTTCTTTCCCATTCTGACATTCAGTTTGGAGTTCAGGAGATTGTCTTGACCAGGACCACACCCCTAAATGCATACCAACTGCCATGTAATTGGTTGATGAGATAATTGCATTAATGGGAAATTGAACAGGTATTCCTAATAATACTTTAGGTGAGTGTATATCACTCTAACCACATGATCAGTGGTTGACCTACATGGGTTTTTCAGTGGCTGATGCCCATATCTAAAGACCAGTGGCCAATGGTCAACATACTGTATATACTATTGTTCAAAATTTTGGGTCGGTTAGATTTTGAAATGTTTTTGATGACTCTTGCTCACCAAGTCTACATTTATTTGATCAAAAATACAGTGAAAACTGTAATATTGTGAAATATTATTTACAAATTACAGTTAAAATAACTTTTCTATTTTAATATATTTTAAAATATAATTTATTTCTGTGATAGTTGAAATACATATGAGTTGTGTATATACATGTCATATACAATCAAGACATGCTCATATGTGTTGAAATTAACATGTACACAAAAATTCACTCAAAATATTTATATAAATACAATATACAATTGTCCAAGTGATCAGTGCTGATAATATCAAAATGGTCAATAACAGTCTTACAACTACACTAGATTTAGAAATGATATAAAGTAGTAAATTTACAGCTTGTGTGTGAATCAGACTCTCTCTGCTGTTTTATAGGATCTGGGCTCAGGGTCAGACAGTGATTTCAGCCTCTCGTCCCTGATCTTCCTGAACCACAGCAGCGGGTCAGATGACTCAGCTGGAGAGGGGGACGCAGCGCTGGAGCACTCTATGGTTCTGCTGGACCCCAGTGAACTCCCTCCTGAGGACCCACGTCACAACATCTGGCGCCTTTACTTTGGCAGCTCCTTTGAGTCTGAAATGGATAACCAGTCTCTTTCTGAATTGGTGCGACTCTAAATTTACAAATGTTATATTTAAAAATAATTGATTATATGTTATTCCTATGATAATTGAATACTTTTGAGCTTCTTATGAGACTCTCACATTCTGTTCTGCTCCCAGAATTCTCAGTACCAGTCTGGAGCCAATTCGACTGCCCCCGACCTGACAGGGGCGTCAATGAGGGATCCAAGCTCCTGTCACGCCCCCCTTTTTATGTCCTGTCTGCAAGATGGCTTTCAGGAACTGACCCATGAGCATTCAGAACGCCTCCGAGCAGAAGTCAGCACCGTTAAGAACAGTTACCGCAAAAACACGGTCAGTTGCCTTCCTCGTACATTGTCCATCTATGGATGATGGATGGATGGGTATAAAAACAAAATTTAAATAACTAGTTTTTTGGTTTTTATACCCAAAATTGATCAATCGTTGACCTACATGTGTTATATCTTTTTGTTTTTTTACCCATCCATCCATCATCCATTTATCCATTCATTATTCTATCTAATTTTCCCATTCATTCATCCATCTAATTTTCCCCTACATTTATCCATTATCTAATTTTCCCATCCATCCTTTCAGTGAGTTTTCCCATGATCCCATCCATTGCTATATCCCTCTAGCTTTCCCATCCATCCATTCATCCATTCATCCATCCATCCAATGTAGTTTTCCCATCCACCTATTCATGATTCCATCTATAGCTTTCCCATCCATCATTCTATCCATCTATTTTTTTATCCATCGATCCATTTTCCTATGCATTGATATATCCCTCTAGTTTTCCATCCATCCATTCAGTGAGTTTTCCGATATATATCCAAATATCCATCCATTTATGATTGTATCTATATAGTTTTCCCATCCATCCATCTTTTCATTTGATTCTACCTATTTAGTTCTCCTATCCATCCATTCATCCATCCATCCATAGTTTTCCCATCCATCATTCTATCCATCTAGTTTTTTATCCATCCATCCATTTTCCTATGCACTGCTATTTTCCTATGCACTCCATCCATCCATTCAGTGAGTTTTCCCATCCATACATCCATACATTTATGACTATATATATTGTTCCCATCCATCCAACCATCCATCCATCCATCTGTCCATTTATATTTTTACATTAATACTACTATATTTATATAGTTTTCCCATCCATCCATAGATCCATCCATTTATGACTATATATATTGTTCCCATCCATCCGTCCATCCATCTGTACATTTATGGTTCTATCTATATAGTTTTCCCATCCATCCATATATCCATCCATTTATGACTATATGTTGTTTCCATCCATCCATCCATCCATCCATCCGTCCATTTATATTTTTACATTTATACTACTATATCTATATAGTTTTCCCATCCATCCATACATCCATCCATTTTTGACTATATATATTGTTCCCGTCCGTCCGTCCATCCAGCTGTCCATTTATGATTCTATCTACAGTATATAGTTTTCCCATCCACCCATACATCCATCCATTTATGACTATATATATTGTTCCCATCCGTCCATCTGTCCATTTATGATACTATCTATATAGTTTTCCCATCCATCCATCTTTCCATTTGATTCAACCTATTTACTTTTCCCATCCATCCAGACAGAAGACTGTGTTAGAGTGTGTAGCTGCTCAGTAGATGAGATCTGCTGCTCTTTTATGTTCATAGGATGAATCCTCTCTGGTGCAGACTGGCCCCAGTAAGCCTGGCGCTCTCATATGCCAAACTCACCTGACCACCGCTTTGGCTAACACTAGAGCATCTGTCAGCAGAGAAGACTGGAGGAGATTCACTGAACTGTGAGTGCACTGTTTTTACACACTTCAATTACACAATTCACACCACTGCATTGCTGAATTTTTCTCTTTCGGTTATGCAGATATGAGTCTTTCGGAGCCTCTAAGGAAGGCAAGTCTCAGAGAACTGCTTCATTAAAAGCAGGTCAGCGGGTGACCTTGGCTTAATGAGAGTATTGTATAAATTAATACAGCTCGGGGCATTAGAAGGTGAATTTTTGTGTGATTCGATCGATTTGGTTTGTATCACACTTTCTGTGCTTTTCTACTTTTCTCCTCAAGAGCAAATGCATAGTTTCAATGTTTTAATGTTAATTAGAGGGATTTATCAAAAACGTGACTTGATTTCAGTAGCACTGAACATATAATTTAAAAAAAAAAATTAGTTTATCAAGTGATGTGTTTGTTAAATTTGCTTATATGCAATATAATGTAAAGAAAACAATGTATATATATATGAAATATGTAATTAATTAACTTTTTAATAAATTACATTCTTCTTGGAATTATGATCGCTGTTTAATTTCTTCAGTGCCTCAGATAGATTGCACATGTCTCAGTTTAACTGAAAATGGTGTACAGTATATTGAAAAAAGAGAATACCTAGAGATAGTAAATAATTAATTTGAATGCTAATTAGTGTTTTTTTAATGTGACAATGTTGTTGCTGTTTGAAGTTACTCCAGCATAAATAACAAGGGATTCTTACCATAACCAGTTGGGGGCAGTATATTCCTACTATCCGAAAGCCAATTGGCATGTTTAAGTTGGCATCCTAGCAACAGCCAGAATTGTTTATTGTGCTGAATTATAGACAAAGGGTGAAAATGTGGATGAAATGAAGCATGACGCTAAAAGGAAGCATTGCTAGGTGTCCTCTGTGAATGAAGGACGCCATCTTGTTCTACTGAGAGACTATAAAGAGATCCTGAGTTGCTCAACTGTCACATTAATTTCATTAATTATGATCATGATGCCAGAAATAATGTCAAGTCAATCACTGTCAAGTGAAATAGGTAGTTTATTAAAATTAAAAGCAGTGACAGCAACATAATATACACTTCTAACAGATTTTGTGTGTGTGTGTGTGTGTGTATGTGGCCTGGTAAACCCTACATGGGGACATTATGGACATTTTTGGTCCCCATGAGGACGACAAAAAAAAATTCTATTAAATTTACGGTAAAAAAACAGGCAGTTATGGTTGCAAGAAAATTACCGCAAAGAATAAGTTATCAACATTTTAGGTTTATTCATAATATGCTAAAATGTTATTGTCTGTTACTGGTCTACTGAAGTACTGATATCTGTTTTGCACCGTTACCACTGTAAACTGTAAATTTAATGGTATAAAATTACATTAAATGTACAGTTAGATCGTGCAGAAACTTTCTGTTAACCAATTAACAGGCCGCCACGCTACGATTTTGTAGAATTCTTGAAAAACTTGAAGAGTCTGTTGGTTTATTTGTACAGTTTGCATAGTTATTACAGTCCTGTGTATATATTGTGTGAATGAGGGGTGGTGTAATGAGGGGTAACCTGCTTTAACGACGACAGTGAGGCTCGACAGCCTTAGTCAAACGGGTATGGTTGGGTTGCAGAGAGATTGTGGTTAACTATGAGGAAGGAGCAACCTCAGCAGAGGGAGGGATGTAAAGGTCAGTAAGCTGGGCTGAGTTGAGTGGGGGACAGAGGAGGGTGACTCTGGGACACCAGAGTCACTGTCGAGCCCTCTTGAGGTGTCGTGGGCTAGTCGATGAACACTGAGGAAGGATGGAAGATGCCCACTTAAAGAACCTTGAAATGTCCCCTACTCTGCCCAATCCAGATGGTTGTCATGCTGGCCCACTGGGGAGGCCGCACTGTGGTTGCAGCCGTTGTGTGTGCTGACGCGCCAAGTAAACTGTAGCCGTTAACGCTGGACAGAAGTAGATTCACATCACCATATGGAAAGAACCATAAATGGATGGAGAAGCATAGGTTACTGTAAAGCTACGCCTTAGTTTGTGCTTAACTTGGCGAATGCCGAGTACAAATCAGCATGAAGATTTAACATCTACTCTCGTGTAATGGAAATCATTGTAAGGATTAAGAATATACAGTTTGTTTGTACAGAACAAAACTCATAAAGTCTATAGAAAATCCCTGAACCATTAAAAAAAACACAATGTTTGTGTGTTCCTCTTAATCAACTACCTTGACATAAAATGGCATAAACAGCCTTTAGATTTAAGGGATGATAAGGAAAGAGCGGATGTGGTGGGATTCAATTGTGTCACTAGTCTTTATCAATAATAAGATGGCGGTATAGGAGATGCTCTGGAGATTCGCCAGCCGTATGAGTCACGGCCTGTCCTTGCTCATGGAGGAAGGCGAGTAACACGGCTGTGATCTCGTTCATGCAGATGGGGTCTGTGACTCTGCCTGTTTGCTCCTGATAACACTGCTGGAATTGTTCCTTGCTTCACTCCCCCTCACATTTATCAACAGCGAGTACAATGACATCCTTCAGTGCTGCTGCATGCTGAGGTGCTTTCATGGCTGTTGGCCATCAAACGAACATCCCCAACAAATATCAGTCTGGAAAATGTTATGGGTTTACATGAGACAACAACATTCTGACAAAAATGTTTGTTTTGTGATCATCAACAGCAAAATGATTGTAACACATTTTCATCCAAGTGTCTGCCATAGCTTTGCTATCATGCAAGGTGTTAGTTTAACGCAAAGGTGTTCTGAGTGGTTGTTAGGCATGCTGGAAAATCCAGGATTGTTGGTCACCAGCAGGTAGGCCTATGTTTTCCATGCTGAGTAAAGCATGGGATGCTGGTCCTATGTGTCTTTGTTAAGCATTGTTTGTCGGGAAAGGGTGGCTTGCCCACTTCAGGTTGGTGGAGAGTTCCTGCCTCAAGTGTAGGAGTTCAAGTATCTTGGGGTCTTATCACGAGTGAGGGAAGGATGGAATGGGAGATTGACTGATGGATCGGTGCAGTTTCTGCAGTAATGCGATCGATGTACTGGTCTGTCGTGGTGAAGAAAGAGCTGAGCCGCAAGGCGAACCGGTCAATCTACGTTCCCACCTATGGTCATGATCTTTGGGTCTTGACCGAAAGGACAAGATCCCGGATACATGCGGCTGAAATGACCTTTCCCCGCAGGGTGGCTGGGCGATCCCTTAGAGATAGGGTGAGAAGCTCGGTCACTCGGGAGGAGCTCAGAGTAGAGCCACTGCTCCTCCACATCGAGAGGGGCCAGCTGAGGCTCGGGCATCTGTTCCGGATGCCTCCTGGACGCCTTCCCAGGAAGGTGTTCCAGGCACGTCCCACCAGGAAGACCCCGGGGAAGACCTAGGACACGCTGGCTATGTCTCCCGGCTGGCCTAGGAGCGCCTCGGTGTCCACCCGGAAGAGCAGGAGGAATTGTCTTCGGGAGAGGGACGTCTAAGCATCTCTGCTTGGACTGCTGCCCCCGCAACCTGGCCCCACAAAAGTGGACGTTTTCATCCAAGTGTCTGCCATAGCTTTGCTATCATGCAAGGTGTTAGTTCAAGTTAGTGTTAGCTGAGTGGTTGTCAGGCATGCTGGAAAATCCAGGATTGTTGCTCACCAGCAGGTAGGCCTATGTTGTCCATGCTGAGTAAAGCATGGTTTGCTGATCCCCAGTCCATTTGTGTATTTAAGTCCCCATGTTTGCCATGTGTTTTTGTGAAGCATTGTTTGTGCAACCACTGTTTGGTAAGCTTTTTGTTCATGGTTTACCAAGCCAAGTATGTTTGTTTTATACTCATGCTTTTGATCCGTTGAATGAACTGCACTTGAGTTCTATAACTTGCCTTCAGTGGACTCCCTTTACAGGAACATTCCAGTTCATCATTCTGCAAGAATTTGGGGACATTACTTTTGAATGTTCCCTGAACATTTTAAAACAAGTGGTAACATTTAAGGGGGCAGCACGGTGACTCAGTGGTTAGCACTGTTTCCTCACAGTAATAAGGTCCCCGGCTGAGCCAGGAGTCCTTTCTGTGTGGAGTCTGCATGTTCTCCCTGTGACAGCTTGGGTTTCCTCCAGGTATGTCGTTTTAGGTAACTTGGATAGTCAAAAAATGCCCCTGTGATGGACTGGCCATCTGTCCAGGGTGATTTTCCCTGCATTTGGCCTAAGAAACTGTGATAGGCTCCAGCCTTATGACTTGGAAAAGTATAGAAAGAGAGAGGGAGAGTTATATTTAAACAATATCCTATGTCTAAATATCTATTTCCTAAAACTAAATCCTGAAACCTAAATCATCTCCCTCTTTGGTTCATGCAAGTGAAATAAATATACCAAAACTTTTTTCCGCTAAGCATATTTATTTCTTGACACTGCTATTAGCAGAAGAGTTCCCTACCCTGAGGTGAGAAATGAATAAAACATGATGGACAAGAGAGAGAAAGTCAGCAATCTGAAAGAGACTGGCACAGATAGAGTCACCTTGTCTGGTTTCCCTGTCCTCCATTTCACCTCTCTGTGTTTCCGATGCATCTCCCGCCGGCTCCTTTCCACTCTGCGTGTGTATATTATTTTACTTTGACAACGGGGATGATCAGTCGATATGAAAGCCTGTTGGCAACGTTTGGTATAAAAAAAGTCATTACCTCACAAAAAAGCACATACTGTATTGCAATATATATTTCTTTGTAATGGTGACCATTAATGGCCTTGCTGTTATGTCCTTGTCCTGTCCTTTATAAACTCACAGCACCTGGCTTTTATAATAATAATTTGTGTGCTAAAATTATACCATTGAATAGCGTGTTTAGCTAAATCAATCCCCATTTTTTTCTCCCATCATAGCCATGCATAGAGGAGACCGCAGGGCAATGTTTGTGTCTTATCAAAGGCTGACTCAAGCGCTCTGCTTCAGTGTGCAGAGGTAGCAATAAAGCTCTCTGTCTGTGCGCTGTGTCACAGCTGAATGCTTTAACAGAGACTCACCCACACATCTGAAATGCTCAGCGCTTTGTCAAGGACATCCAGTCTTTCTTCCCATTTTCTCCACATGCTTTAGTCTTTTTTAGAGCACCAGAAGGTCTCAACACTCTGACAAGATAAGAGAATTGAGTAGAGATCTTTTTAACAACCCACATGAGTCATGACTCTCACCCACTGTTATTTGAAACCATTATTTTTCCAGGCTGTTAAACTCATGTTAAAAACATGAAGTTATAGCCAAGAAACAGTTCAAAAATGAAAATTCTGTCACCATTTGTTAACTTTTCTGTTAGGGAAAGAGGGACCAGCACAATCTTCAAAATTTTAGTTTAAAGTTTGAAAGAAC